GTTTAAAAATATATGAATAACATACAATATATCAACAAACAGATAAAGCACCTAAAATACACCAAAGCTCTTACGGAACCAGAAGTGAATGATTACAAATATTTGGTTCCGTACTTCGCATCTCGATCTAATCACATTGATATTACTCCCATTCACGTCGATATTATCCTTGCTGTTGAGATCACAGCTAACTCTTCAATTGATCCACCGGTTGGCTAAATGTCCATAACTCAAGTTATTCATACCGTAAAACCTACACTACTAGTTAAGGGTAATTTGACTCACTATGATTAATAACAAATTTACAATAAAAAAAATAAAAAAAAATAAAATCAGAGATTAAATCTTTGACGGTTCTGCTTCCAGGGAGTCATCGGTATGGTCTGGAGAAGGACTGTACGTTTAGGTTGTTGGGTACTGTCAGAAAAATTCAGGTTAGAATTTTTAGTTTGTTGAGCATAAAAAAAAAAAAAATTGCCATAGAAAAGAAGAGTCTGAAGAGGTCTCTGTTCCTTCTCGCCTCTTACTTTTTCTTCCCACCCTTGTTGTCTCTCTCTCACATACTTCCTTTCCTCCATTTCTCTCTTATCCTTTCCACTTATATACTCTTTTGATTGGTAAAAGAGAATCAGAATAGAGACTGGAATGAAATTTTTTTAATAAGACACTAGAAAAATAATGTATCTTCCAGTTCGATTTTTTTTGAACAGTTTGTCTTTCAATTTTGTCCAGCGAGACTCTGACTTTTTCAATACTGCCTCCCTATAAAAAAAGTCAATCCATTTTTTTTATTCCATCTTTTTTCCGTAAAAGGCTCATATTTCCAGAATTAATAACTTTATATCACAGAATTTATCAAATTATTTGTTTTCCGTGAATGGATCCGTGAAAGACTCATTTTCACAGAATTTTTACAGAAATAACGGATAAAATTTTTTATAGGGCCTCTATGCTTTCAAATATTTTTGATGAAATAAGCTTTGTTAGAAAGTTTTTTGACATCATTCCAAAGAACTATAAAAATATGAAGATACCTCACCTACATCTTGTTGAATAATATTTCCCCAAAATCTAATTTGTAATTTTCGTCTGAAACTCCCTATAAAAGAAGAAAAAAAGAAGATAAACTAATTAATAAGAAAATCACCTCCAAGAATTGAACTTGGACACAGAAATTGTGGAACCAACGGTGATGGATTTTTGTTGAGTTGATAAGTTATTAAGGAAAGAACTCAACAAAGGAATGAAATAAAGGTTATCACATGTGAAGAAGGAAATCACATGAGATAGATCAAATGATCAAGAAAGGTAAATTTTACAAGACAAAGGATCTCTCTGACACCAATTAGCACAGTGCAATGCTTCATGGGCGATGCAAACGATCCCCTTGTAAAAATTATCTATCTAAGAATGGTCAAGTAATCCCAAGTTGACCAAAGGGGAAAGATTACGTCTCCATGCTATATTTGGTAAGCAATGGGCCAAGCTACGTAATATAAGATTATTTAATTAAATTATTGAGAAATTAAAAGGATAATAATATTTACTAAATAGATTACTCTATAAAGTAAAGAATAAGAAAAGATGAGAATATGAATTATACAGTTAAGTAAATAAAGAAAAGGAAAAAGAATTGATAATAATATATACAATAAATAAAGAAGATTTGATAATAATATAGATAATAATAAATGTTCAAAAGAATGAAATATATTAGAGAAATGAAGAGTAGGGAGATTGGAAAGAGATAAGATTATAGTGCACATGAATTTCAATAAGTGAAAAATTAAGACAATTGTATTATTGAGAATGTTGGTATATATGAGGAGAATTATAAAAAGAATGTAAAAAAATCCGGTAAATAATGGTAAATAATGTTGAGAAGTTTCAATGATAGGTTGAGGGTGATTGTAACATTTATTGATAGGAAATTCATTTAAAATAGTATTAACAATATTTGGACACAAATGATAAGACATTTTGTAATTGCAAGTTAAAAGTTTGAATTGAAATTTGGAAAAATTTTGGTTTGACGTTTGAAAAATAATAATATTAAATTTGGTTTTTGATTTTTTTCTTGAGGAAATTAAGGGTATTTATATATTTTTTAAAACCATAGATACATAGTGGCTAATAATAAAATAGATAAAAAAAATCAAGATTATCTATATTATCTATGAGTCACAATTAATTTATAAGTTATTTAACCTAAACTAGTAATATTAATTGATTCAATGATGACTAATATGTATAATTGTGGCTTATAGTACATAGTTAATTTGATTTACTCCCTATAAACCATATAATTAAAGATTATATGATATTGTGTAATATTCCCATATTATTAAAGCTTTTATTATTGTTAATTAAAATAAATTTATTAAATTTTATTCAAGATAAATTTATTTTTGATATATAGTTTAGCAATGGTTTTAGTATAAAATTTTTATCGTATGTATACATTACCGAAAAAATAAGTTCAGCTCTTGAGTTTACTAGTGTACTTAGCTTAAACACGCGTGATATACATGACAAAAATGAAATTTCGATAGTTACACAAGATCCTAGAATTTAATATTCCCTAATTTGGATTTGAAGTGTGTACTATGCTTATGTTTCGGACAATAAAAAAAGTATACTGAAATCTATCTATAAAGTTATATGGAAAATTTGCAGGTGTAAGTATACTGATTATAATATACTGTGCATTATTACTCATATAAAGTCAACGATATTACAGTATCTAATCTCTAATCTCATACTTAACATGTGAAGTATCAAATTTTTGGAGAAACGCGTAATATAACTCCACTTTATTACTTTTAAATAGGTAAAGATCAATTTTTATTGTATATAAGATATATAAGATGTGAAATTACTTTGATATTTTGTTATTAGATGACGTAAAGAGACATGAGGTATAATGTAACGATACAAAGTTTCTTAGAATATTATTCGTTTTTGTGGTATTACAACTTCTGATCAAGGTATAACTTACATTTTAATATCATGTCATTTGTTTTGTTAAATGAAAATATGAAGTTTAAATAAATATTATTTTTTCTTTCTATAAGAAATTTTTCAAAACGGTAATTCAAAAAATTATTTATTAGTGTATAATATTTTGTATCTGGATTTTGAGATATACCATATATTTTATTGTCACCATAAAAGTATTCATTGGCCTATTAAAATACAAAAAAATAAATATATTATTGCACATTAAAACATTAGATTTTTGGAAAATATTTATACCTCATTTAGAAATTCATCTAGAAATTTTAGAAATTCATTTGCATCTTGAATATTATTAAAACATTTTAAAATAATTGCTTTATTAGGATTCCTTTTACATTTCTTTGTATTTTCATTATATTCTAATGGGCCATTTTTCCATTTTGCTGAATATAAAAAGCTTATTTTTTCCTACTTCTTCAATTTCTTTAATATCAATAAACTGGTTGTATGGTATCCATTCGAGTACTGTATCAGTTGGTTTTATAATACTTGATTGCTTCTGTCGAATAAAACTATCAATTTCTTCATTTCCACTAGTCCAGTTTATAAGATTGTTTCTTAAACTAATAATTTGATTTATTTGACATAGTTTGCACCATTTACTAAATCGATCACGTATATTTATCTTTGTTTTACCACAACTTTCACAAAGTTTGCCAAAATAATTAATTTTATCAGTAAAACTCATTATGAATAATTTAATAGATATCGGAAACTTATTTATTTAAGTCACAAATAAAAAAAAAGAACTTGCAATGCCCAAATATATTATGTTACATCCGACGTAATGGAAAATGCTTGACGATCGTTCAATCTTATATTGTAAATTGGCTAAATTTATTTTGAAACTTGTTTTATCAAACGAAAAATTGTATAACATTACATTAATTAATGCATCATGGCGGATTTATGGAATACCCCAAAATTTTATTAAAAAGTTTTGTAATTAATTAATTAAGTTAAGTATTTTTAATAACAGTTCAAAAGTATAGAATATTGTCATAAACTTGTGAGTAATTGTAACAAATACATTTTTTCTATTGTATAGATTTCACAATATAATATTAGCTCTTTGGTCAAACTAAGCGGATGAGAAATATCTAAGGAAGGTTGTTCATAAGATATGGAAATACTTGCATATTAATTTATGTAAGCCTAGCTTGAAATTATAATAATATAAAGATGTGCTTTTACCTTTTTTTACTTTTAAGATATAACTTGAATGTTTCAGTTATGGAGAATTGATGAAATCAAAAAAANAGGCAAAAGAAATAATTCCAATTCATCCATGGAAGTGAGGCATGGATGAAAAAAAAAAAAAATAGTCAAGAAAATCCAATGATTCAGAATAATAAAACTATGCTAAAAAAAATGATTTTAAAAGTTAAAAGTTTGACGATGAAAAAATATACAGATTCACTGTTAATAAAACTGTGGCGTATTCAGGGGCTTATTAAACTAATCATTCTATAATGATAAAATTAAAAAAAATTTTTTATGATGCTGGTTATATCATTAGTATATACAAATGTACGTCATATTTTAATCTAAAAGCACATGAAATGTATAGTTTTTCACTTTAAAGGTAGTCATAAAAATTTTAGTTGCACATGAAAAAAAGCCTAAAGATAAATGTTACACGAAATGTGTGGGCTGATGATAATTATTTTTGAACCAATCATATTTAAAAGAAGAAGGTCTAGGTCTTGGTAAACAATCATTTACAATATCATAATTCGGTAATTTTGAATTTGATTCCGTAATATTTATATGTCCGTTTTTTTTTGTTACATACTGTATGCTGATATTTGTAATTATGAAAAGGCTTTTCTCTACGGGAATGTATTTTGCTCAAGCCGAGAATTGAATCAGGCTTGGCTCATTTTAAGCCTCGATATGAGCCTCAATAATTTGGTATTTATATGATTAAATATTCCATAACTTAATATAACCTAAATTTTCTTCTCAATATTACTCATAAAATGACAAGCAATCTAGAATGTGGAATATGTGCATATGATGATAATATTACTTATGTAGCTATTAGCCCAGATGGTTCTATAGCAGCAACGTTTAATCCATGTAAGTTATAACACTATACGCCCTGTTCCGATAAAAAAAAAGATGCTAAATTCTTATTACATGCTATTTTCAGATGACTCTTCTATATCAATTAAAAATGTGGAAACAAATAAAGAAGCGTTAATTTCTTTCGATAGAAATAATTTCCTTGATAAGGAATCCTCCAATAATAATGTATGGTTTTTAAATACTTTTAATAACTACTATATTCGTCTTAAAAACAAGAAACAACCTGAGAATATTATTGGTTGGTCTCTAGCAGTGTCAGATATCATTAATATCACAAATGGTACCTGCTTGGTTGCAATTTCTTGTATAACTGACAAGGATACAAATCCAAAAGAAATTACAGAAATTGAAAAAGATAGTTCTCGAAGAGTATATCTTAGAATTTATCTCATTCTGAAAACACGTGGAGATTCTCGAATCCTTTTAATCATATTACTGCTTGCACTTTATTGTTTATTCATTCAAACTTTTACATATATGTACACTCTTATTTTAAGTATTGCGGTATTTATTAGCATTCTTGTTTTCATCCTTTTCTTGCCTGAGTTATTCTACTCTTCTAAAATTTTAGAAGAAGATATTGAACAAGATCGATTATCTCGGGCTTCTAGTGAGGGAGTAATAAAGATTTTTAAGACTTCATTCAAAAATAATAATGATGATGGAAATACTTCAATTAATAATTGTGGTGGAGTTGTTACCTTTTTAAAAAGATCTGATACCAGTGTAATACTTGTTTGTACTAATAGTATTAAGATAAAGAAGTTTAGGATAAAATTAAACAAAAATATTTCCATCTCTAAAGGTGATACTTATTTATTACCTGAAAATTTATTTAAAATATTTTATAACACTAAGAATGCTAAAGATAAAATTAAGAATGCTAAAATCAATTGGAAATATCTCTCGAAATCCATGTATCAAGAATTTTTGATGATTAACACAATCGATCATCAAAAAATGAATATTGAAATATATAATGTTAGTACTTTGCAGTTAGTAAATGTTTTTTACAAAGATGATTTCTTAATTTCAAATGTTAACGAACCTGGAATTTTTGCCGTATCAATAAATTCAAGATTATTTGCTTTTTCTTATGGAGATAATGCCATTACAATTTACTTAATGGAAAGTGGCCTTGAAATTGTTTCAAAAAGATTTAATGATATTCGTGAAATTAAATTTCTAAAATTTATTGAAGAAGAAAAAAAATTGTTAATTATTGAAAAATACGAGAAAGACAATGTGAAATTTACGAAATTTCATATTTGGATTATATCAGGATGTTTAAATGATTATTTTTCTATTTCCAATGATACTTTAAAATACGAAGAATATTATCATATTACAACAAAAGCAGATGGAAAAATAGTTTTTCATAATCATAATAATCAAGTTGAAATAACTACTATAAAAAGCGAAAAAAATGACATGTCGACTGATGAACATGATGGACATAGTTATAATTCACATGATCTAGAACCATGGAATAATAGTATAGAAACTATTCGTGGTGGATTTCTTAATAATGACAGAAGATTTCCCGTTATAACTGGTCAAAATAGTATTCAAGTATGGAAACTAATATCCCGAGATTTTGAAAATTTTGAAGAATTTAAAAATTTTGAGAATTCGAAACTTGTATATATTTTTATAAGTGGCAATATCAAACCAGAAAAAGTAACTAAATTTCCTGATATGAATACTGTTATAACTCACGCATGTAAATCACTTGCTTATCTGTACAAGCATGTAAAGAGTAATAATTCTAAAGAAATACTTCAACAGTTTGTTAATGGAATCACAGATATTATCAAAGACTTTATTAAAGGAAATCCTGATAATTGGAAACTCATGGAAGTTCAATATCCTTTAATGGCATATCTAATTTATTCACGTTCAATTTCTTTAATAAAATACATCTTATTTGATGCAAATGGTCAAACTAGATCTCAAAAAAAAAATATCGGGATGTTACACAGACCACAAAAAAGATATGATTCTTATCCATACATTAATGATTTAAAATTATATGATGATTTTAAATTTGAACAAGATTATATGAAAGATGATGATTCGAAACCAACTAATGATTTGGAATTAGCTTTGAAATTAAAAGATGAACCAGCTTATGGTGAATTAGCTTTGGAATTTCGACAAGGTAAATTTCATTTTATTACGATTATCAATGAACATATTTAAACAATAATTTTTATTAATAGGTCGAGATGCTATTATTCTAGCATACCTATTGGAATATTATTCTGAAAATTCTATGACTCATATTGGTTGGATGATTAACGTAACAAAAATACTTCCAAAATTGCTTAATGATGATTATTATGGTATATTTATTTTATATTATAAACTTTTATTATAATATACTAATTAAAAATAATTATTATTTATATAGCTAGTTATATAAATTTATTGCTTCATAAGCCTTGTTTTGGAGAAATGAAGTATAATTTTCCAATTAAAAGATTCCGAGCGTTATCATATGGATATGATACACTAGAAGTATATGCGCCACTTATTAATTTAATATCACCAAATTCTTTAGATATTTTGCGATATAAAAAATTGAAGTATCTATCTATATGTGTCATTTAAACTGAACTCATTATTTTAAGTGTTTTTACTGATATTTTTTTTTTTTTAAATAGAGATGTTATATCACCCGATATTTATATGGTTCCACTTCCAAATTTCACAACTCATAAAATTGAAAAATTTGAGAAAAGTAGTTTTTACGAAGAATATGAGAAGATTATACATTTCTTTAGAAATATGTTTATTCCACCTTGTTATAACAATATAGATGATAAAAAGCTTAGTTCATTTCTTCAAATTAAAAAGAATGAAAGAGCATTTTTTAATATTCCAGCTATGGAAGCAGCTATAAATTCAAGATGGGATCAAACAAAAGTGCATTGGAAAGGTTCTTTATACTTATATTTTATGTTTTTGATTCTATTCTCTTCTCTTTCTCATTATTATTTAAGAGGCTACAATAGTATTGATACATCCATAAGGACTGGGTTTGGAATAATTATTTTTTATTACATTGGAATATATTTGTTAATAATTGAAATTATGCAAATGCAAAAGTATGCAAAGAAGTATATTACAATATTTAACATGTTTGATTTATTCAGTATCATTTCGGGTATGGCCATTATTACTTTGATATTATTAGTAAAAGTATTTAATAAAGCTGATGGAATTAGTGAAGAACTTATTACTATATTAACAACGGTAACTACATTAATACTTTGGATTGAAATGGTACGTTTTATGACTTTGAAATTCTTAACTTTAAAAATAATTTATATACTAATTTTTTTTATTTTCTCAAAGCTTTTATTATTTCGATTATTTTCAGTAATAGCAATAAATGTATTTATTTTTGGAAATATTTTAAAAAAGATTATACCATTCTTTGCATTTATGTTCATTTTTATAATTGGTTTCGGGCATTCAATGTAAATTTTGCTTCATTATTTTGTGCATCCTTGTATTAAGTTTCAAAATTAATAATAACTCATGGTTACGTTATAATTAGATTTGTTCTTTTTATGAATCCCTTATTTCATGATAGAAATCAAGATAATCCTTTTGATACAATATGGGATGCTATACTTTCTGCGTACTATATGAGTTCAGTTGATTTGAATATTTATAATTATTGGCCGTTAAAGTTATTTGCTTTTATTGCAAATGTTATTATAGTTCTTATTTTACTTAATATGATTATTGCGTTAATGAAGTAAGTAGTATGTTTATTAAATATGTTTTGTTTACAAATATTTATTAACCAAATTTTATAAAGTGACACATTTAATAAAGCTAAGGAAGATGGTAATCTTGGACTTTTGATGTATAGAGCAGAACTTATTGATGATTTTGAAAGACTTGACGGTCCCTCATTATATAATTCACCATATATATGTTTTCGTCAAGATCCTGAATTGATGAAAAAATGGATAAGTAAATCTCAAGAAATTAAAGAAACAAAATTATATTCATGGTTTAATGAGAGTATCGATAAAAATAAGATAAATTATGATAATGATGATATTGGTGAAAAACTTACACCAAGTAATGAATATCAAGTCTTAGTCTCTTCATCTATAGTTGCTAGTTCATATGCCCCTGACCAATTTGGATCATAGTTATTTTATTTATTTATTTTTACTTTTTATTTACTTTCTTGTGATTTCTTAAATGTCACTTATTGAAAAATTTTTGTACAGTAGTTATAGAATGTAAAAATAATTTAGATATCTGTAAATTAAATATATTATAGAAAGAATCAATGATAAAATCTTTTGAAACTTGTAAAATTAAAAATCAAAAAATAATAAATAATTATTATCACAGTGTCAGTGTACTATTTCTATTCAAATATTTGAACAAATATTTCTAATTTATTTAACAATAAATTGCTCTTCATTTCCTATTTTTAAGTATCTTAACCTATTTGAGCATCTTGATCTCCTTATTCAGCTGATTTTTTGTACCAATAAATTGCTCTATTTATGTTATTATTAATTCCTTCTCCATTCTTATGCATCATAGCAAGATTATATTGAGCTATACTATTCACTAACCCTTGCTTTTTTGATATAATTCAAATGTTTATTTCTTAACAATTTAAATTATTTATTCCAAGTGCATTTTTTTAAATCAGCTACTTTTTGATATAATTCAAATGCTTTTTTGTTTATCAAGCAACACTGATTCTAATTCCTAAATAATAAATAAGACAATATTATTTGAATTATTTGATTATATAATAATAGATTATAAATCTTTTGTAAATCTATATGAATATTTAAGGTTAGAACATTGATTATATCATTAGCTATTATGTTAAAGCTATTCTCAAATCTTTTATTCAATGACATTGAAGTTTCTATATCTTTTATATTCATCAAATCAAAATTTTGAATAACTTGAGACAAATCTCCATGTAATGAATCAATATTTTCAGAAATTTCAATGTCTAGATTCGGTCGCTGATTGTTTGATGATTGAATATTTTTGTTATTATTATCATATAAGTGAAATTTTTTATAATTATAATTCTTTTGTTATAATTGCTTTTAATTCATCAACTACTTGATTGATAGTTGGACGATTATTATTAGGTTCAATATTCCGACAATATACAAAAAAATAAATGTCTTTATTAATAAACAATACTATTTATAAGTATTGTTTAAATTGTATTTACCAATATAAATATTTATATATTTTTCAGATGTATCGTGAGTGGGTGTCTCTCTAAGGCCTTGTAAAATACTTAAAGTTAAACCAACATCATATGGTTTATCATATACATGTTGCCGAAACTCGGCAATTTCGGAATAATTTCAGGATTCGGTCTTCGGCAAAACGAGGCTCCAGTCGAAAATCAAAAGTTGGGCCGAAATTTTCTGGCCAGCATATGCATTTTGAGCCCGCATTATAAATTTTGTGTAACATTAATGTAACACAATATTTCATCGCAGGCATGAAAATTTCTTTGTGTATCTTTGGTGGCTAAACTTTGATCCGGTGTCACGTGATATATGGTGGCCAGCACTAAAAATTAGGCCAGAATTATAAAATAGTTTCAGACATTGATCTCAAGTTTCGGCCAGAGTTTCGTTTCAGATTTCGGAACTTTCGGATTCGGCCATGTTTTCGGCAAGTTTCGGCAACATTTATAGTTTATCAATATTATTTATTTATTTTATGGATAGCTAGGAGGAATGTTTATCATGAAAAAAAGGTTCCCATAATAATACGCCAATGCTATAAACATCACTTTTCATTTAACAAATATAATTCTGTTGTACTTCTATTCCAAATGATTAGTTGGATATTTCATCAATTCTTTTTGATAAGCCAAAATCTGCTAGCCTAACAGTATTCTAATAGATCAATACATTATTGGAGTGCTATTTAATTACACATTAAAATAAAATAATTAAATTAAGATAAACTAATCTTTAAAATACATTACAACAATCATAAGTTGTAAATTAATTATCAATTCACTATGCACGCCATGCAAACATTCATCATTCCAAGTGAGATTTTCAAAATTTTTTTTCAAATATTTTCGGAGAGTGCCATTATCAGCATATTCCATTACTAGCATATACTTTTTTGGGGTTTCTTTTAAAAAAAAGAAAAAAATTTACAAATTAGTTAATTCAACTGCGGCTGAAAAGATCTGCGTATTTTTCAAGCACAGGAAAATCTGATAAAAAAACAACTCTAAGACCAATGAAAAGGATTACATGTGTAATAATAAATGATATTCATTTTATTATTGTATTACTTATTTCAATATCTCATGAAATAATTTTTGGAAAATTCATTAAAAAATCCTTACGCTGAGCTTACGCATCAGCTTTTATTGTATGATTTTTTTCTATTTATTAATCCACTCTAAAATACTTTTAATGTTATGTATAATTACAAGTTTTACAACTATAGGTCACTAGTTGTAAATAAAAATATTGTCTATTTATTGGCACTAACCTTTACTTTTCAATACAACCTTTATTTTTACCTTTTATTCTTGTAGGCTTAAAGCAAATTAATTATTACTTTCAAATCGATGGATCGCTGTATGCATCTATATCAATGTTGGTGCTACTAACAACGACAGTCTACAATCCTGATATGCGGATTTTGGTGTCGGATTATAGACTGTCGATATTATGGTTGTTAGGATTTTTGGAAGATCCAATTTGAAAGGACTGAATTGGATAAAATTAATTAATGAAATCAACCATAATAATTTTTAAAATCCATTAAAATTGGTGATCTACTAGTTTTACCATTCTTTCTAAATGTTATAAAAAATAATCACTCGCTCAGGAAATTACAATCCAATATTAAAACAGGGTCTATAAAAAAGGTGTCTTAGCTCAAAAACTATACCAATTTATTTCCACAATAGGGTTCAAAGAAATTCAATTAATAAAATTAGTAAACAGAAAAGAAAAATTCAAAAATTAGTACCATTATAAAAAATGTAAATTCCTCCATCATTTCAAAATATACTAATCAACGATAATATTATCTTAAAGCTACATTTATTCAATTAAAGTAATTATTAATGTATGAGTATTCTGTTTTAATAAATTAGTAAAATTATAGGTTCCTCTCAATTTCATTTAATATTAGGAAACCTAATTTGAATAATAAAATTATATGACCAATTTTTTAAAAAATTGTTTTAAAATAAAATTCTATATTTCTTTTTATATTATTCTATTAAAAAGAAATGTTTTTATTTAATACATATAACATATTGCAAAAATACAATCGAACATCCAAGTTTAATTTCGGTAAAATAACCTTTCCATATTAAATAATTCCGGCCGGAATTATGCACTCTATTTCTTAATTCGGTATTAAATCATGATTTTATTTTTATTAATGGATGTCAGTTAGGAACCTATTAACATGACGCGAATTTAAGCAAAATATTACATACAAGATCAAAATTGAAACAAATACTACTAAACTACTTTCGCAAAAATAATCTACTCAAACCGGTGGATAAATCTTAGGAAGAAGGCCTATAAGAAGACTACTACCTTGGACACGCCAAGCCAAAGACCCAGGTGAAATGAAGCCCGTACCCGCAGATTAACCAAAACCGAAACCGCCAGCCCCTGGTTGGTAAATATCCCCAACACTGGTCGATAAAGACAAATTCTCCAAGTGACTACATTACCAGAGTTAATAAACTATGCAAGCCAGTTAATGACATCATACCACAATCCCACCATTTAAGGAACCTGGTAACCCAGACGAATCGCAGCACTTTGAAAATTAAATAAATAGATAATCTATTTGTAATTCATAATGCAGAGTAAATTCTATTTAGAATATCTGTTTTTGCTTAAATTGATCATCACACAACATAATAAATAATCCGTACAACTAAACAGAACTGACTTTTTCTAAATCGGGTAAACAAGAATAAGCATCGATATTCGGGTACAAGCCCCGATCCTGGTACAATTGATTATGGAAAAATAATTAACCGGATTACAAATTCTATTTTAATATAATCCTTTTCAAAATAAATTAATTTTATCCATCATTCAATTATGATAGAATATGACAATATTGAAGATCCAAACGAATGGATTGAAGAAGCTATTTCAAAGAAACATATTAAATATTATGAATATGAACATTTTAGTAATATAGAAAAAATCGGGTTTGGAGCATTTGGAAAAGTTTATCGTGCAAATTGGAGAAATAAAGAACAATATTTAGCATTAAAATCTTTTTTTAATCATGACAAGGCTACTACCAAAGAAATTGTTGAAGAGGTATATATGTTTTTTATGCTTAATTTTTCGGTATTATTTTTATCGTATATTAATTTTTCAATAAAAAAAAAAAATTATTAAATCTTATTTTAGTTAAAACTTTAACGTGAAGTCGATTTTCATGATAATGTTATTCGTTTCTTTGGAGTTACGTCAGGTACGATGAAATTAATCAAAAATCTTTTGATATAATAGAAGTGATTAAGATGGCAAATTTTTTTTTATATATTAGAGAATAATCAAAATAATTCATCGAAAAATTATTCATTGGTAATGGAGTATGCAGATGGTGGAACCCTCAGACAATATTTAAAAAAAAATTTCGATAAACTTAGTTGGGATAATAAACTCATTATCGCTTATCAACTGGCTTGTGCAGTTTCATGTTTACATGACGAAGGGATTATGCATAGTGATTTGGTAATTGTAATTATAGGGTATATTATAATATATATAATTTTCATTATTACTAATCCATTACCGCTTAACATTAATTATTTATATGATAGCACTCCAATAATATATTAATTCATCAAAATATTGTTAAACTAGCCGATTTTGGATTATCGAAAAGAATTGAAGAAGTAACTAAAAGCCATTCAAAATTATTTGGTGTTATTCCCTATATTGATCCAAAAAGATTGATTAAACAAAAATATAAATTAGATAAAATGAGTGATGTATATAGTGTAGGAGTATTATTATGGGAAATATCGAGTGGTCGACCACCTTTTTATACTGAGGGCAAGAAATATGACATTGGTTTAATTTATGAAATTTCAGAAGGTTTGAGAGAAAAACCCGTTCCTGATACTTCAATCACTTATATCAAGCTTTATACCGGTAAATATTTATAAACAGTAAATATGATTTTAATAAAAATTACTCATAAACCGATTTTTTCTTTAGATTGTTGGGATGGAGAGCCAGATAATCGTCCAACTATATGTGAAGTAGTTGATCGACTGAAAGATATGATATTTCCAAATGATGAAAGCGAAACAACAAAAATTGATCAAACAAATGATGATAAATTAACTGTTACTAATATTGATAAAACTTATACTTCATCTATCGGGTTGAGTAAAATGGATACGAATGAAATACATGAAATAATAGAACAATTAGCGGAAGATCAAATAACGAAACATGTTGATGAATTATTTAATCTTATTTTCAAAGAGGTAAATGAAGGAAAATAATTGAGAATGACAAAGCAACATATTTTTGATTATTCTAAAAATCATAATATAGATTTAAAGGACATTTATGATTGGTTATTACATAATCAGGATAATACAAACTATACTTTTTTACTTGGATATTTTAATTATCGTGGGATTGGAACAATTAAACATGATTGGAAAGCATTTAATTTATTTTTTAGTGCATCAGAACAAGATCATATATCGGCACAATATCATGTTGGATTATATTATGAAGTTGGCAATGAAACTGCAAAAGATGAAAAATTAGCTTTTGAATTATATGAAAATGTGGCCAAAAATAATTATGCAGCAGGAGAATATAAAATTGGATGTTTCTATGAAAAAGGAATAGACATTAAAAATGATATAGATCAAGCAATTTTTTGGTATGAAAAAGCTTCAAACAATGGCAATATTAGAGCTCAATATAATCTTGCTTCTTTATATAAAGATGGAAATATTGTCGAAAGGGATAAAACCAAAGCTTTTAAATTATTTGAAAAATCAGCTGAAGGAAAATATTCAAATGGGATAAATATGTTAGGATATTGTTATAATGTTGGTATTGGAACTGAAATTGATAGAAAAATGGCATTTGAATTATATCAAAGTGCTGCAGATTTAGGAAATACATATGGAATAAATAATTTAGGTCGTTGTTACCAATATGGAATTGGCACTAATGTTGATAAGCATAAAGCACTTGAATTATATCAAAAGGCAGCAAAATTGGGGAATAATAAAGCTCAATTTAATCTTGCCAAAAAATATGAAATTGGAGAAGGAGTTGTAAAAGATATAAACCAAGCGATCTATTGGTATAAAAAATCTGCCAAAGAGAAAATCTAAATGCACAAATGAAATTAATAAGCCTAAGAAGTTAGTTCAATTAATTATCATGACTTTTTTATTGTTATTTTTTATAGAACATTTTTATTTAAAAGGATAAATCAATAGTCAAAATCAAACAATATTAGTCAAAAAATTTCACTAATTACAGTAATTAATAAGTAGTTAAATAAACTTGTTAATAAACTATTAAAAAATTAAAAAAGATTTAATAATAATATGAATTTATGGCTGTGCAAATCAGTTTCTGTTACGCAATATCGCATCCTCTATCTGGTGTTATCTCTCCATCAATAGCAGAGATCCGGAAAAGCTTGGCCACTTTATAAATGCGTCGCGGAATTTGGGTTTGACCATATTATTGTAATTGGAGAGATGTTATATAGGTTGCTATTTCTAGATTGCTGCGGACGAGTTTTTCAATGGGATGCAATGGAACAAATATTATGACCATTAGGGCCTTTATTAGAGAATGTGAAGCCAAGATTGAACGGAAAGATCGAATAGTATGGACTGTAGAAGATGGTGTCGCGTATGAGGAATCTAGTGGTATGTCTACAAGCATTATTGTAATGGGAGTGAAGACGCGCTACTTATTTTTATTAACTTTCTTCTTTTTAGGTTCTTTAGAACCAAGAAGAAATACAAGTGCTGTTAAAGGCAAAAAACAATCGCTCAAAGAAAAGATAACGGAATCAAAGATATGAGATTTACAATATGAGCTAAAAAGATATACTGCTTAAAAATTAGAATAAATTCATGTCAATTCCACTTAATTTAAAACAAACAAAAAAACTGCTATTCTACATGATAATTGCTAAATATGAATTTAACAAAAGTAAAATATGTCCGCTCAAATTATCAATTTGAACCGGGTGATATGGTCAGCAAATACCGTAATTTTGGCCAATCATACTACTCCAGATTATTAATCTTTAGCCCGAATTTTAGTCTATTGGTAATGATAATCAAATATATAAAATTGTCAAAAAAAAAATAAAATTGAACCTGCGAAATTTGAAGTTAACTATGCTTGCTGAAATTATGCTATTAACATTCTATTAAAAAAAAATCACATGATTTCATATAGGAAAACAGTTACTCCGAATGTGTAATTATGCGTAGTAAAGATATTTTTATCTTCAAATAAAGACGGAGCGATCATCAGAATACATGCTGAGACCAAAACTAAATACGTAAGTTAAATGAATATTCTAAAAATAATTTTTTTTTCTTTCCTATAAATAATTTTTTTTATTAATATTTCTTTCATTCAATAATGGCTAAAAATGATAATATCGATAATCCGAACGAATGGGTTGAAAATGCTATTTCAAAGAAGCTTATTAAATATTATGAATATAAACATTTTAATAATATTAAAGAAATTGGCACCGGATCATTCGGAAAAGTTTATCGTGCAAATTGGAAAAATCCGGAAAAATATGAAAAATATTTAGCAATAAAATCTTTTTTAAAATTTAACAAAGCTACCGCCAATGAGATCATTGAAACGGTAATTATTTTATGTAAATGAAAAAGAAATACTATATCTTTTTATTCTACAACGATTCTTATCGTATTTATATTTGTCATTAGTTAAAACTTCAAAGCGAAGCCGATTTTCATGATAGTGTTATTCATTTCTTTGGAGTTACGTCAGGTATGATGAAATCCATGGAATCTTTTGATGTAATGCCTTTATAAACCTTAGAAATCAACAAAAAATTTTTTATTATACATATTAGAAAATGATCAAAATAATCTATCGAAAAATTATTCATTGGTAATGGAGTATGCAGACGGTGGAACTCTTAGAGAATATTTAAGAAAAAATTTTGATAAAATTACCTGTGATGACAAATTGTGTATGGCTTATCAACTTGTTTGTGCTGTTTCGTGCTTGCATAATGAAGGAATTGTGCATAGTGATTTGGTAATTGCATTATCCCTTATATTACTTATCCATTAACTCTCAACGTAAAATCTCGATTAACAAATTTTCATCCATTTAATAATAGCACTCAAAGAACATATTAGTTAACCAAAATATTGTTAAACTAGGCAATTTTGGGCTATCGAAAAGGTTCGAAGAAGATACCCAAAGTCAATCAAGATTATTTGGCGTGATTCCATATATTGATCCAAAAAGGTTAATTGAACGAAAATATAAATTAAATAAAATGAGTGATGTATATAGTATAGGAGTATTGTTATGGGAAATATCCAGTGGTCGACCACCTTTTTATACCGAAGATGAGCAATACGATATTAGTTTAATTTATGAAATTACACAAGGTTTGAGAGAAAAGCCCATTCCAAATACTTCAATCGCTTATATCAATTTATATACCGGTAAATATAATATTTTTATAGGTAACTTTAAAAAAACAATTATTAACTTAAAGATTATTATTTTTTTAGATTGTTGGAATGAGGAGCCAGATAATCGTCCAACTATGAGTGAAGTAGTGGATCGACTGAAAGATATTATTTTTCCAAATGATGAAACGACAAAAATTGATCAGACGGGTGACGATGATTTAGTCATTATAAATATTGACAAGTCTGAATTTTCATCAGCTGGTAGATTGGATAAAAAGGTTACGAATAAAATATATGAAATAACGGAATATTTGAATGATCAATTTTTAAAACACGTTGATGAATTAGTTAATCTTATTTGTAAAGAGGTAAATGAAGGAAAAGAATTGGGAATAACAAAAGAACATATCTATGATTATTTCAAAAATCATAATATAAACTTACAAGAAATTTATGATTGGTTACTACATAATCAAAATAATACAAATTCTATATTTTTGCTTGGATATTTGAATTATCGTGGGATTGGAACAATCAAAAATGATTGGAAAGCATTTAATTTGTTTTTTGATGCATTAAAAAAAGATCACATATTAGCACGATATCATGTTGGATTATATTATGAAACTGGTAATACAATTGTAAAGGATGAAAAGTTAGCTTTTGAACTTTATGAAAATATAGCAAACAAAAATCATGCAGCAGGAGAATACAAAATCGGGTATTTCTATGAAAAAGAAATAGGTATCAAAAAAGATACAAATCTAGCGATTTGTTGGTATGAAAAAGCCGCAAATAATGGAAATAGTAGGGCTCAATATAGCCTTGCTTTTATGTACAAGGAAGGAAAAGTTATTGAAAAAGATAATGTCAAAGCTTTTGATTTATTTAAAAAATCGGCTGAAAGAAAATATTCAAATGGAATAAATATGTTAGGGTGTTGTTATGAAGTTGGAATTGGAACTAGAATAAATAGAAAAATAGCATTCGAATTATATAAAACTGCTGCAGATTTAGGAAATACATATGGAATAAACAATTTAGGTCGTTGTTACCAAGATGGAATTGGGACTAGAATTGATAAATATAAAGCACTTGAATTATATCAAAAAGCAGCAAAACTTGGAAATAATAAAGCTCAAGTTAATCTTGCCAGAAAATATGAGATTGGAGAAGGACTTGCAAAAGATATAAACCAAGCGATCTATTGGTATGAAAAATCTGCCAAACAAGAAAACCTAAATGCACAAATGAAGTTAATGAGGCTAAAAGAATTAGTTTAAATTATAGTATTAATTTATACTAATAATTTCGTTATACATATACTTTAATTATATTATCACTTCAATTTTTGTGATTGTAATAAATGTTTGCTACTAACAGTATATCAGATTATATAATAACCTACTGACTGCCGAGTAACCCGGCTACCCGACAACCCGATAATCAAATTTCTCAAGTGTCCCGTATATTTTGAATTTTGCTGTAATTAACCGGTTAAGTTTAACCGGTTCCAACCTCTTGAACATGTGAACAAATTTAGCAACAATAGTCAATGTTAAAATCTAAGAAACTTAAAACAATCAAAAATGTCTAACAAATACACGGAATATCAGAGTTTAACAATATAACCGCAGTAGAATGTACTAAATAAATTGAGAAACTAAAAATTTATAAAGCATTATAAATATAAACTTTTCAATAATTACTGTTTATTAAATTTAAGAATTTGTCGCGAAAGCAAAAAAAAAAACAAATTTTAACGAGGTTACTGCCAAAGAATACGATTTTCATTATATATTTATTTTCACCAAAAAAAAAGTTGATTAACTCAGTTTTAAGAAATTTATGTATTAAAAGAATTTTTTTATTATTATCCAAGATATTTTAATTGACAAAATAAAATTGATTTCTTTTATGAATCGGTTTTGGTATTAGTATAATGCATGATGCCATATAATTTTAAGAATACACAAATTTCATTTGTCTTCATTTCTTTTTTTTTCTTTTGGTCGACATAAAGTTTGTGCTACGTTTAATTAACATATCGGATATGATGAAAGCGGCAGGTAGTAAGTAAGTAACGGAAATTGGCTAAGTAAGTAACGTAAAATTACTGTTTTAGGCCAATTTACGTTACTCCCCTTATATAAGGCACGGAACGTAAAGTCAATTATATTTACTTTACGTTACTCCCCTTATATAAGGTACAGAATGTAAGGTAATCGGTTAAACTTAAAATTTTATTGCGAAAATATTTTAAAAATTTTTTTGCAAACACATTTATTAAAATAATCGATTTATTTATTGAAATTTTATTTGCAAATATTAAATTTAAGTCACACATCTTCGATTTTAACGAAAAAAATCACTGTATTTATTTTAATGTAGTGATACAAATAAAAAAACAATAACAATAAATAAAAAAGATAAATAAATTACAATGATCAAGAAGAAAAATGCTAATAAAAAAATGAAATAACAATGGAGTAATGGAAAGAAGAAAGGGAGTAAAAATGAGTAATGAGAAGTGATAGGAAACAAAAAGGAGAAATAGGGCATGATGGGAGATGAAAAAGAGTGATGGGAGATGGGAGACGAAGAGGAGTGATGGGAGACGAAAAAGAGTGATGAGAGACGAAAAAAAGTGATGAGGGACAAAAAGAAATGATGGGAAGTAAACAGGAGAGAAAAAGAAATAATGGAAAATGAAAAGATGTAATAGAAATAATGGGAGACGAATAATGAGGTGGAAAATGATGAGGGACAAAAAATAAAAAAATGATCATGATAAGAGGTTCGGTAATGATAGAAAACCAAGTAAAAAATAAATCATAAAGTAAAACAAAAATGAAGTTAGTAAATAAGATAAAAACAAAATAAAAAAATAAATAAAAAATAAAAAACATACCTTTATTATTTATAGAACTGAAAGGACTAATATAACTAAATAAAAAAATGAAATAAAATTAGTGAAAAACGAAATATGAAACAGAAACAAAATAAAAAAAATAAAAAATAAGTAAGAAACGAAACTACAGTATACTGAAAACGAGATTAGATAAAACAAATAAACATGACGCTATCATGTGGAAAATATAAGGAGTAACGTAAAATATTTACCAAAAAAATTTACGTTCCGTACCTTACTATATAAGAGAAGTAACGTAATAGATCATGTGACTTTACGTCACTTACTTTGTCAATTTCCGTTACTTACTTTCTATATATTCTGATGAAAGGGCCATATAAAACAAATAAGAACTCATTGATCAAATATAAAAATCATTGTTCTAAAGAATAAATAAAATAAATTGATTCTCTCAAGTATATCGTGCAAAATAGAAATATACAGTACAGAGTAATAAATAAATTTATTTATTGAAACTGTTTTGAAAATATTATTATACGAATACGTGTTCTATCTATTAGTTCTTACGTATATGAACTAGTATAGTAGACACAATGTTTTGCATTAAAATCTTTCGTAAATTCAGTAAATTCAGAGGAAAAAAATCACTATAGAGAAAATTGTTGGTGAAATAATTTTAAAATAACAAATTCATATTTTAATAATATACTGTAGAATCAATTCAAATTTATATTCATGATTTAGCTTAAAGCTCAACGAGATGTAGTTTTTTATGACTTTTTTCTTTTTTTAATTAGAAAATATAAATAAAAAGAAAAAATATTTAAGTATGCCGTCAATAATCTTACCTGAAGGAATAAACTCAGCTCCGCGTATCAATTGGTTTGTGCTGTTTCATGCTTACATGATAAGGGAATTATTCATCGTGATTTTTATCGAACTTATCCTGAAACAATTTGCATATTTTGTCATATGATGTTGTTTATTTAAATATATCTTTTAATTCTTTAATAGAACCCCGGTAATGTAATCCACCCGGCTCATACGCAATGTAATTTGTATTTTAAACAATAATAATAAAAATAAAATTTTCTCTAACTTTAGAGACATTAAACATCCTATGGGATTTTTTTATAGAAATTAAAAAATTCTACGTAGAAAATTACATTATTCATTTTAATTTTATACATTGGGAATGGTTTTATATGCTATCATTATTTTAATAATTCATATAAAATAATTGGAAATATAAAAGATTTATTTAAATTACAAACTAAGAAATTTGTTCTAGCCTTAACGTTAGTATTTAAATAATTTTAAAGAAAGAGAATACATACTGAATATTTAATATTTGGATAAAATATAAAAAAAGGAATTATTTAAATTACAAACTACGAATCCCATAAAATATTTTACTACTACAGCCTTAGTGTTTAAATAAATCTAAAAAGAATAAAATAAATAACAATTTCTGTTGAGTACATGATATCAAATATCACTAAATAAATCATGAATTACTTTTAAAAACACAATCAATTAGCTAATTTTCAGGTAAAATTTATATCGTATCTTGATGAAAGTAAAGAAAACGCACTTCTTAATATACAGTAATTCAATTACTAATATTTAGTAATAATTATTATTATGATTCCTATGCTATGAATCATTTTTTTTTTTTTTTTTTTTAGAAAATCTCACAATAGGTACCCTAACAGATTATTAATCATTTGACCTTTACCTCGAATAATAAGTCATCGGATTTGGAATTTTGTAATCTTTTTTTAATAATTTTTTAAAACATTTCCTAATTTGTTTGATCTAAAAAAAAAAATCACATATAGAAGTTTAATATTCTAACATTAAGATTATGAAATATTAATTAATATATATGACTTAAATTACTTTTCTACGATTCCTAGTAAAAATTCGAATATAAAGTTCTTCATATTGTTTTGGAGTAAGATAGCTCACTTGCGATTCTTCCAATTTAAAAACTATAAAACCATAAAGAATAAATTAATAAATGTTGAAGGTTAACGTGTCAACAAATAAATAAACTAATTCAATATAGTGTATACCATCATTCGGTTGATTTTTATCATAAAATTCAACATTATCGATCGGATTCTCATCCTTATTTCCATAATTCAAATTAAATATATCTACAATTACGTCATCTTTTTCTAGTTCAGCTCCGTTTGACCGATGCTTTACGATTTTTTTTTCGGTTACTTTATTCTGTTAAATAAGTAAATAAATATAATTTTGAATTTATAATTTATAATGCTGACATACAATGATTTTACCCTCTTGAATTGTTCTTTCAATTCTTTAGGAACTAAGTACCCATCAACGAATTTATAGAGTTTTCTTTTTCGAATACGTTTGATGATCTTTTTTGACTTTTTCAAATTCTAAAACAGATTTAAATAATCAATGAACTATTTTACGTTATAATACAAGAATACTGTATAATGTAGCAGCTTACCGGATTATTATCACATACAATTCTATTTAAGATTGTATCATCCATTTTTAAATAATCTTTTGCATTATTAATACTATGAGATATTTTAAGAACTTCATCCGCCGCTTCTAAAGCATCAATTATCATATAATCTATTGCTTTGCCTAATTTAATAATTACGTAAAAAATTACTTAAATTGTGAAAAACTGAAAACAATTAGGGTTTTAAATTAATTATAATTACCAACAAAGTGTTTATAAGCTTTTTTGTGTAAAGAATACCGTGTGTGAAAGAGTTCGTAAATATTATAGCTTTCCTTAAAATCATATACGATTTGATTATTAGAAACACGAGAGTAATTCATAAGTCTTGAAAAATCAAATTCTGATTTCATCCCAAGATAGTAACAATCACGTGCCAAATAATCAAATTTGTCGACATCGATTGAATTACGTTGATTAGATACTATGTCGAATAGATATGGAGGTCTTAAATATTGGTATATTTGTTTGTTTAATATTTTTGATCAAGTAGCAATAAATATATATCACAAATTCATAAATTTACCTATCCCCAGTGTTATTCCCAGTGATTAAGTCTCTAATTAACTGTTTATCATCTTCACTCAAATCACCAGCTATTCCTTTATATTTTTTTAAAATATCATTAAACATCATTATAGAAGCCTCTTCATGTTTCCACTTAATACGATCGGTCCTTTTGCGCAAAAAGGAGTGAATATTTAATTAAATATTATGTTATTTATTTTGTTACAGAACAAACCTTGTTTTTCTAATAAATTCTTCAAAGAGATGACTAAATGGACCATGTCCTATAAAAATCGTAGAGCTTATTAGTAATTTATGATTAGTTCAAGAATAAAAGTTGAATTAACATACCCAGATCATGACATAATGCAGCCAATGTCACACATTTTAAATCTTTCTCGCTACATCCTAAATTAGGTTGTGACTCACGGATTCTTTTCACCAACGAATGGGCGAGATGAGCAACACCTGAAACATGATAATATAGTTCAAGGGTTATTTTGTTAACGGAAGTTTCTTCGCTTTCCAGCAACGAATTATGAATTTAATATAGCATGAATTTATTACCTAAAGAATGTTCAAATCTATTGTGGCTGGCACCAGGATACACATAATAAGAAGTTCCTAGTTGTTTGATACTACGTAATCTTTGAAAATGTTCAGTATCGATAAATTTAACTACCCAGTCATCGAATTCCATTAACCCCTGTTTATTATCATTTTAGTATATCGCGCTCAAAAAAAAAAAAAAAAAAAAAAAAATTTAAATCAACAAGTTACATGAATAGGGTCTTGTATTCTTTTAGTCATGATACCAAATTCCAAAGACAAAAAAAAGAAAAAAGGATGAAGAAAAACATAAAATTCAAAAAGGAATCATTCCTATATATAATCTAACTATAATAGTGAAACAAACCCCCGCTCACATTGTTACACCCTATTGTTACGAAGCCGCAGTGACTTGTTGATCATTTCGGAGTATATAGAAAGTGTTGTTTTTTTTCTAACATATGTTATATTATATGGTATATTAATTTATTGGATAATTTAATTTTTTTTACAATTATTGTTAGAATTGAAGTTTTTCGGCCGTTATTCAGCCGTAATATTTCGTCAACCTTACAGAACTGTATGGTGTCTATTGGCGCTAGGTATTATAGTATAAGTACAGAATTAAATTTGGTATGTACAGTATATAATGGTGTAATTAGCCTAAAAACGGAGTCTAATTCCTGATTGCCGATCATCCGGACCCGGTTTAGTCGCAAAAAATCCCTAGAATTCCACGACGATCTACGCTTGAGCCGGGTCCGGATCACGTTGCGGCTAATTATTTTTCGGCTAACTACACCATTATATGAAGTATGCTGATTCAAATTACCAAATTACCAAATTGTGATATTTTTTTACCTAAAAAAAAAAAGAATCCGAAAACGAATTAAAACCGGACGAATATTGATATTTGAATACACAATCACGATAATAACTATATTGAAAAGCCAGTTTTTTTAAAAATGAAAGAAAAAGCCATAAAATTTTTTCATCATACGGACAATAGTTTATATAATCGAAGTTTTTCTTTTTTTCATTTCAATATGTAATGGCAAATCAGGAATCAAAGATTTTTTTCGAGAGAGAATTAAAAAAATTCTCAGTTTAGAATGAAACGATACAACTTACAGGTCAAAAGATAGTTTTTTTTAGGAGGATAAAAAAATGTCAATCACGTGATCCAAAGAAGTCCCAATTTGACAAATTATATCAAAAATCCAACATTGTAATCAATACAACAACCAACTACTAAGCTTTCTTATGCCGATATGGCCAAGAAAAATCCTAATGATCAAAGAATTACCTTGGAATAAAGCCAATGTGTCGAGTTCTCAATCAACAGTGACTAAGTTCAAAACCTTTCTGAAACAATTTCAAAAGGCAAATGCATTTTTTTTATTATTATTATTTTTATTCTTTAGACAAAACAGAGACTGTGGATCAATGATCGACAAGAATAATTTAGCCTAATTGATGACCGGGTTAGATAACCGGTTGAATGACGTATTAAGAATCTTAAAACAATCAAAAATGTCCAACAAAAATGCATGATGATCAAGATTTGTTATTGTTATTTAGTAGTTATTGTTAATTAAAAAGAAGATTTTTTTATTAAATATGAGAATTTTTATCTGCAAAATTAATAACATATCTTACCTAAGATACTGTATTATTTATTTAAATAAGTAAAAGGTATAATTGTATTTGTTCAAAATCCTTTTTTTTTTTTCGTCAGAGTAGTGTCAGAGTCATATTAAAATGATCAGCATACAGTTACGAAAGAATTTTTCAACAATTAAAAAGAGTGCAATAAACCACTAATAAACCAGATTCTTTTTTTATTAAATATGCTGAAAAATTAGTAATAAATAATTATCTAAGTTTTTTTTTTATTAAAATATAAAATAAACAAAATGTATAATTGCCTGATCTTTTTTTTCGTACTAAAATGGTCAACATACAGTTTAATATAAGAATTTTTCTAACTATCACCGGGGTGATGATCACCGGTGACTGAAATTATGACAATCGACCAGCATTAAAAAAATATAGTGCCGGTAAAAATTGATAATTCCGGCCAACGGTGATGATCACCCCGGTAGTGTTTCGATCCGGATAAAACCTCAAATATTTTAACGTGGGATTATGATTAAAAAAGGTTACAAATTTCGGCTTTGAGTGGACTATAATTTCGGCCAGAATTAAAATAATATTATTCCATAAATTTTTATTAATTTTGGTGGTCCCAGCCTAAATTAACCGAGCCGGTATCCGGATAAAAACCGGATAAAACCGCTACGGATCGAAACTCTACACCCCGGTGATTTGATAGTAAAAAATATAAAAGAACTTTTTTTTTGAAATAATCTAAAATTAATAAAAAATACAATAGAACAGATTCTTTTTATTAATAAATAACAAAAATATAAATAAAGTTTTACATAGTTAGTTCTCAAGTAACTCTATTTGATAGATAATTATACATTATTAAAAAAAAAAATTGTCATATTTTTTTTTAAATAATAGTAATTAATTGATGGAACTTCATAAGTTAAACTAATTGAATTAAGTAAAGTAATATTTTGATTTACTAAACTAAAAAAAGAAATCAAAAAAAAAATTAGTAATCTGGAGATAGCCATTACTATGCAAAAAGTGATTTAACATAAGACATTACTTTTTGATTATTCACGTAATTAACATTAAATAAATTTTTTTACCTAAATTAAGTAGAATTAAAATTATTTTTTATTGTATTATTTTTATTATTCCAATTTAATTAAACCAAAAAAGATATGAATTATCAGAATTAGTTAATCCATGATTAGTATAATTAGTGACTTTACAATGATCAAAATTTTCATTTTTTTTATTATGAAAAAATTTTTTTGCAAACATAAAAGATAGAAATTTTTTTAAATTCTTTTATTATATATAGAAAGTATATAATTTTTTTCTTATAGTCTTATATGATGATCAAGATTTATTTTTGTTTAAACATTAAAAAATATGTTTGCTGTTTAAAAAGAAAAGCATTGATTATAAAATTTCTTGCCACATTTAAATCATAAATATTAAAATAAGACTGATGATTGGTTATATAAATGGAATTCTTTAATTTTGACTGCACTTGATTATGATTCTATAGAACTGATGTAACAAATTATAATAGAATATCAGTGAAATACAATAGATTATATCATCATTTGGATTTTAGTTTTATAAATTCAAAATTTGACATTTTTTAATACAATGCATAGTTATTTATTAGTATTATTTATAACAATAAATGTTCAGTTATTCTAATTTCAAGTTATTGCCTCACATATAACAGTTTAGAATGCCCTGTAAGGGACTGAGGCAACTTGTTTAGTAAATGAAAAATAATATCCAATGATTACTCGAGAATAAAATCACGCTGATCAGCAATTAGAATTTATATAAACTATATTTGAATCGAATGATGGTGCATTTTTTTGAATGAAATGTTTGGAAGTACAAATGCACGTTATCGTGTTACATACATTTGATTGTAATTTTACTTAATTCTGTCGGTATAGAATTAATATTTCCTTGTAATAAAAAAAAAATATGGAAGGAAGTTCAAGTTAGGTAAATTAATATTTTAAGTAATATTAAAATTTAATTAATTGCAAATCGTGAAAACTTATTTTATATAATATAGAGTGGAAATTCTTTTATCGATACTTCTACTGGTAACTTAGAAAAATTAGAGGAATGGTAAATAAAATTCACAATATCCTAGTTAGCATAAATAGAAAAGTTAATATAAATCATTGGATAGACTAGAATTTACATTTTGGTATTTATAAATTGTATTTCTGCGGGAAAAAAATTTTTTTTCTCTAGCAAATTTTTTATATAATTAAAATTTTTCCAACCAATCTAAATTTTTTCAGTTTCCCTTTTTTTAATTTTTATTTTTTTTTCTTGAACTGATCTTTTTACTTTTGGTTTTTTCTTTTTTTCAAATTTCCTCTTTTCTCTTTCGAAACACCTTTTTCTTTTCCCAATTTTTTTTTTTCTTTTTCTTTCGAATTTTCCTTTTCGGTTTCTTTTTTCAACCTGATTTTTCTCTTTGTCCCTCCCTTACGAATTTTTTTTTTCGTTTTTATTTTTTTGTATTTTTTTTTCCGGTTGGCTTTTTTTTTCAAACCGAATTTATTTTTCCCAAATACATTCTTTCACCATTTAAGTTTGGACCGGTTATAATTAATATTTCTGGAGAATTGTTTTTTTTTCATGTCAATTAGTTCGTTATAATTAGTTTTTCTGGGAATTTTTTGTTTCATATTAATNCGGTTGGCTTTTTTTTTCAAACCGAATTTATTTTTCCCAAATACATTCTTTCACCATTTAAGTTTGGACCGATGCTGCGCCACTATGGCAATTGCCTTTTTTCCCAATTCTTACTATTAATAATAATAATATTTTTTAGGCTGTATCAAGCTCAATAATAGATTAACATAATTATTTATTTATTATGTAACAATAGATCGGTTATAATTAATATTTCTGGAGAATTGTTTTTTTTTCATGTCAATTAGTTCGTTATAATTAGTTTTTCTGGGAATTTTTTGTTTCATATTAATTAGTGAGATATTTTTTTTTCTATAATAATAGATTGCTATAATGAATTTCTTTGAGATATGGTAACAATATATATGTATTTTTTCAACAGAGGATATAATTTTTTTTTAATGTTACAATGGAATTTTTTTACGATAAAAAAGATTTTTTTGTAACAATGTAACAAATAAATTACTATACAAAATTGTCTTTGCAATGAATTTGTAATTATATGTATAAATAAATCATAAATTTCACAGTACTGCAACATTTATTTTGTGTGATAAATAAAATTTCCATATTTCATATACTGTATAACACTCGCACACAATTCATTGTTATTTGTACAATCATATAAATTGTGTAATTTATTACATTTATTTCCTACTAATGCTATCATAATAATAGTAAAAAACTAGACCTATTCACACTACATGGCAAATAAAATATAAGTGTTTATTATTACTCTCTTACTTGATGGCAAGTATCATCCCTGGCGCAACGCGACGGGTTAGTACTTAAAAAAAAATGAAAAGAAAAGAGAAGAAAAAGAATAACCAATGAAATCACACTGATCAGCGCTTAGAATTTACGCCCAAATTTTTACAAATATTTGTGACATGTTACATTAAATAAATACTGAAGTAGTAATACGTTATTGTAATTTTACTTAATTCGGTCGTTATGATAAAATTTTTTCTTGTAATAAAAAATATGGTACTGTTTAGGTTATGTTTATGCAGATCTTGATGGTATTGCATTTTGATTATAATTTTACTTAATTTGGTGTTTGGTCGGTATAATAAAATTTTTTCTTGCTTCTTTTTGTAATAAAAAAATATGGAAGGAAGTTCAAGTCAGGTAAATTATTATTTTAAACAATATTAAAATTTGATTAATTGCATATCATTAAAACTAACTTTATATAATAATAGAGTGGAAATTCTTCTACTAATACTGCTTCTGGTAGCTTAGAAAATAATGACCCTGTTTCATATAAAACGATTTTGCATGAAAATGTACTCAATAATCATATCCTTCTCAAATTAGAAGAGGATGGATTCACTACGTCAGATGATAAAGTAGAAGAACTTTTAAAAAATCTAACTAAACCAAGTTATTTGTATGCACTTAAATTACTTTTTGAAAATTTACAAAATGAATTTTCATCTCAATCATTAATAAATTCGTTAGAAGCTCTAATTGATTCCACCTCTTTTAATTATTATTCAAAAGAAAGCATGGCTAGACTAGAGTTACATTTAAGGACTTGGGTGATAGTCTTAGAACGAATTTGTTTTTCACTAATAGTACTTAGTAAAGAACTTCGAGATAAAGTTTATAATTCTTTAGCAAAATTTGCAGAAATTCATCGTAAAACAACTCAGGTTATCGAAATAGGACTTGGTAATAATTTTAGACCAAATTTCAATCAATTCAATCAACAAAACAATAATCAAGATGAACAAATTATTAAAAAACGTAATTATAATATTGATTTTTTATTAATCCATTTGCGAGATACTCTTCATAGTCTACGTGATGATGAAACTTGGTTTCAAGAAATTATACGAAGAACTAAAGATTTTCTTAAAGCTGCATTAAATATTACACCAGGAATTTTATCAATAGCAGGAGTTTCTCTTCCAAATGATAATTGTTCAATCTTATCATTGCTTACTCAAGTACGTCAGAGTTTAAGTTTTAAATACCCAGTAGCATCTTATTATGTAGATTGGAGAATTATGTTAATAATTCAACATAATCTTTTCATTTGGTCTGAAAGTGAAAAGATTATAAGTAAAAAATTTGGAGAATTAGTATTAATGGAATATATTTGGAGCTTTTTGGAAAGAGAATGGGTTAAT